AAGAGCTTCGCATCTTGTAGAAGAGCTCTAACTCATGGCCACCGTTCCACTTCGTGAGGGAGTTCGCCAGCTGAGCCTCCGAATGGACCCAACGGATCTGCAGGGATGTCCTGTATTGTGACTCCTTCACACTGATGAGTTCAATGTTCGACTTTTTCTCGGCCCCCTTTATAGTTAAGACCTCGGTTTGAAGCTTGTCGTAGACATTCCGGGAGTCAGTGATCAGGGTGCCGGGGATCCTACGGACGCTAGCATCAGGATCACGGGGATTCGGACTTCCATGAATGAGCTCATCCCAATGGTATCTAGCGAAGTACAAGACGTCCTCCCCGTTAACCGCGGCTTGGGTTTCTGCCGCTCCCGGGCTGCGGCACTTCCTGTCAGATGGACACGCTACCAACTTCACCCCTAAGCATGCTCAACGGTCCCAAGCCCACCAGAATGCCCTGACTACTTCCATCGTCGACCCGGTTCTGGCTAGCCGCGTCGACCCAAGCATACATGCCTAGGGCTTCCTGGGCAGGAAAACTATGGATGTGCATTTCGTGTCCACTTTTGGATTTCACATGTGACAACAGGGTGTTGGCTTGAAGGAGGGTCTGCACGGTACTTTGGGTGACTTCCGTCAACAACAGTCCTACCGACGCTGACACATGAGGAGCAACTTGCTGAGCATGCCATGACAGGGCCCCAAGCAAGCCTCTAAGTTGAGTTCGTTCTCTCTCTGTAGTTGGGGCCTTGGGGTCCTTCCTACGTACCGAGTTAACAGGTATCTCAGGAATGGCCTCAACATACCTCTTTTGCGAAAGCTTGAACCCTGCACCCTCACGAGTCACTTGAACTCCGCACTGAACAAAGTCATCCTTGTCCCAGTCACCCCACTTGAAGCGACTCTGAATCTTCTGAATCGCATCACGCCACTGAGCATTTGTTTCTTCGCCTGTGAACAAAAAGTCGTCCACGTGCCCTGAGATCACTCCCAGTAGCTGGTCCTCGGAGCTACGCAACGTCCTGCAAGCATCTGACCAAAGCCTTTGGAATCCTAACTCGGACAGGAAAGTAGCCACGGTCTTATACCATTCCAATGGCGCGTCTACTAATCCGTAACAGGCCTTGCGTAGACGGACAATCGTCTGGCGCGGGAGGTTCATAGCTTCACAGATCTCATCACATGGCGCGCAGAGCAATTGATCAGGATAATCCCGGCCCTGGAGGAACGCTCCAGACACATCTCCTTTGAAGACGGACCACTGCCGATTGGCAGCCACTTGTAAAAGTAGCTGACGAGCTTGTCGGCACATAACTGGTGCCGTGGTGGCACGATGTTCGTATGCCGGGTCTTGATAGCCCAGCAGCACCGCCCGTGCTTTCGCCTTGCGGCTTCCGTCATCACGAAGCTTCCATGTCAGCACCCATCTCATGCCAATCGCTTGTGAGCGGTCCGGCTTGTACTCCGGCGGTAAAGCCTCAAAGGCCTGAGAGGCAATAAAATTCTTGACTTCGATGCTTTTCGCATCCTTGAAGGCCTGCTTGTCCTGCTCGTTGAGGCGGCGCTCGTTCACTTCTACTGCTTGTCGTTTTAGAGCCCCGACAAAATAACTTCCCAGATGTTCTGCTGCCTTCTGCCTGCCATTCTTGGACTCCGGCATGGCAATCTCGATCTCGATCGCGTTGGCCTCGTCTGTCCAAAAACCGCAGAAAGAGCCGAAATGATCGGGCTCAATATTGCTCCACCAAGCCTGTCCGGGCTCCTCTAACAAAGCCTGGGGTCCGCGTGTGCGGGGTCGTACAGGTCTGCTGGAGGCCGATGGTTCGGAAGTGGATTGAGGGAGCTGCTCCTCATCCACACCTTCGGGCTCTGCTCTCTTACCTCTCACTCGAAATCTCGAGGGAGGCATCTCCTGATCTGGATCTTGGGCCCGAGTCCATTCGCGAACATCTGGTGCTTCCGAGGATATATCCTCGAATCTGTTGCCTCCAATCTCCTCCACAACGCGATTGAAGGTCCACGGCGTGCTTTCCTGGCCCGTGCTGTGGGCCAGAGACTCTAGCAGTTCCTCCCTGGGGGAGGCTCTGCGCAGTTGTTCTGCGCAGCACTTGAGGAGTGATCTCCCTCGGACGAGCCAGACCGTGGATCCAGGACCTGGCGTGCCATCCTTGTCTCGCTTGGTCTCCGTCGCCAAAATCCTCGCTGGTCCAAGAAAGCGCCCTCGGGAAGTTCCCGGCTTGTGGCGCCCACTGCCGCTCTCTTGTGTCCGCCAAAAGAACACGAGTTCGCCCGGGGAGTAGTCGTATGCGGGACGACTCCTCGAGTTCATCGCCCGATTGATGCGCTGCTGCGCTTGCCAGTCTGCAAGTGCCTTCTCCGCCGAGGCCCGTGCGTGAGCTGACCTTTCAAAGTCCGCATCTGCGCTTTCCACCAACAGCTCATCTGGAACCTGTTCTGGTCGATTGATCAAACGTCCCGTCACGTCCGGGTTACGCCCAAAAGCGTGTTGCACTGGGGTAAATCCTCTGATCTGTTCCCGGCAGTTGAAGGTCTCGATCGCGAGGGCCAAAGCTTCGCGAGTTCCCAAACGGTCGTCGTCGGCACAGAGTCGATCCATCAGGTGTTTCACTCCTTTTATCGCCTGCTCGCAGACTCCGATGTGCCAGTGCGCGTCCGCGGGCACCACGTCAAGGTATATGGAATGCTTGTCACAGTAAGTCTCCACAGCCTCGCTGCGGAAAGAACCTGATGGGTCCAGTCTCAACACCTCTGGGTGTCCGAACACTTGCGCCCAGCCCTCTTGGAAATATGCCAAACATGCTGCTGCGGTGGGCTGTTGTTTACTCCCCTGTGTTAACACTCGAGCCACCCTGAAGCGGCTGCCTTCATCAATCACCAGCATGAACTGCGATGCCACGCCGGTCCTGGGATTCGTCCAGTGACCAATGTCAGCGGACACCGTTCGCCACTTGGGTGGTAAGGTCTCTAGAGAGGACAGGTTACGTGGAGGGGGTCGTTGGCGTTCAGCGCAAACGGAACACCGAAACCTCTTGGCAATCTCAAGAACTCTAGGACTCACACCTCGTCGTTTCAAGGTGTCCAACATGGTGCGCACACTCCCATGACCTGTAGCTGCATGGAGAAGGTGTAGCTTCTTCATGATTTGTTCTTCCTCCTTGCGTTCATCCCGAGAACTCGTCACCCCTTCAACCGCACAAGACATGTGTTTGCTCTCCTGAGGGGGACAGTTGAAACCGAAGTCCTTAAGCCTTTTGAAGTCCTGCGGTGGGAAGATGGTGAATTCCTCTAGACACATACGCCGCAATCACGACCCTATTGCCTATCCACTCTTGGGAACCATGCCACCTTTTGGGAGAAAACCGTTGGGCTTTGTGTCTCAAATCATGAATAGCTCCTGAAACCCACTCTCCATTCGGAAGCCGTCGCTTCTGAACCTGTTCAGAAGCCTTGGAATTTTCCGAAGCATCCCCTTGCAACCACAAACCACCCTTCTGGAAACTCCCGAGCCCAATCACCACATTGTCAAAGCGTTCATCATTGTTCACGTCCCTGTGAACCGGCATCTGGTTGTTGAAGCTAAGGGTCAAGGAAGTTCTACAGAAGGGGCCTGCGTGGTTCTCCATGTAAGTGTTCAAGTATCTACACAGATACCGATGTGATCCGGTGCGGTGCGTAATCCCATAGTGACTTCCGTAAGCATACACTCCAAAGGTCACGTACACACTGCGTTGGTTGCCTAGCATGCGCCTGTGCTTCAGAATGGGCTTCAGGGGGAGCATGTCTAAGAGTTCTTCACAGCTACTATGTTTGAAGTCTCGGTTCTCCAGGAGACCTTTGGCCTTGGCCTCGCACGCTTCCTGTTCTTCCTGGGTCATGAAGGCACTCATTTCCTCACTTGTTAACTCGTCCTGGGCCATCCAAACCTCTGAAGTATCCAAAGTCCTGGAAGCCTCACCTGAACCTGTGCCTTGAAAACTCCCTGAAACCTTCCCTTCCTGGGACACCTGCCGGGGTGTAGCCTGTGCGGGTCCACCTGACGCCTGAACCTCGGGTAGCCCCACTGAAAGAACGCACGCCGCACACTTCACGGACTGTCCTTTGACCTGGATCTGGTCACACACGCATCGCATCCCTGCACCAAAACTCTCTATTAGTGAACTCTTGCCCTGGCATTCGGCAGTGACCTGCCCATGATCCAATTCCTGAAGGAGAACCTGAGCAACTCTTTTCACCAACTCCGGAGTATATTCCCTTGTCCTAGCTGCCTCAGCTCCTTGGCACGCTCCGTGGCGGTAGGCCGGGTCACAACGACACGGAAGATTCACGACCTCCGAGAGCCGTGAACATGTGGTGGCTATACGCCATCCCTTCTGGAGCAAGAGCTGCGAATCAGCATGACGCGCGTTCACCCGACAACCCTTGCACACTGAGACATGCAAGCTATAGCGACGGACCAACTCTTGCATGAAAGGCAACCGCCACGCATTTGAATGCTCTGGCCACGACCATGTCACATGGATGCCCCACTGAATACATGCATGCACAACCACAGCCGCTCCTACAAAGACACGGAACTCAGCCTGACGTTTCGTTTTGAGGTTTTCTTGTTGATTCGGAGTTCCCTGATTCGCGTTCTGAATGGGGGAGTAGGAAGCACTTGGAGGACTCAACCACACATGGCGTGGCTGTTCCAGTTCAATGCGTCGCAAGGTCAGTCGCAATCCCTCAGGCGTGTCCAAATCACATTTATTCCATGGCGCACATCGACTAGCCGAGTCGGCTCGGCCGGTAAGGCTCTGCACCGTTGCTGCCAGCAGGCTTTGTGGGGAACAGGCCACCTCCAGCAGCACAGCCCTATTCATGGAAACCAAACTTTCAAAGATCTGCGGCACCACTGCTTGTGATGCTCGTTCGAATTGACGTGCCTGTCCCAGACTAAGTTGCCGACTCAGTCTCTCAGAGGCACTCATAGGTCTCCCTTCGGAAGACATCAGGGCTCCGGGGTTCTCGGACCCACCATGGAAAAATCGCTCACCACACTCAGAGCCTCCTCGTTCTGAGCCTTCTTGCGGGGTCTCTCGCCCTTGAGGATCGACACCTCCTCCTTCAGGTCTTCGATCGTTGAGACCAGACTCTGCAACTGGTACCCCGCGATGGTCACTGAGCCAATCTCTTCCTCCGCGGACGAAGAAGCGCTGCTCCTCATCATCGTCTTCTGCTTCGGCGTCGGTGTCTTGGGCGTCACCACACGGTGGTTCTCCTCGGACTGTGTCATCTTGAGCTCCCATTCCTGTGACGCCGTCTGCACTAGCTGAGGATCGTTGCTCAACCAGCCTGCGAACCTCTTGAGACGGGGATCGCATGGTCCCTCGCGGGCTGTTGTGATCGCCCATTCGCAGTACTGCGGATGCTTGTTCTTGACCTCGCTGTAGCTCAAGGCCGCGTGCTTCCCGAAGCCAAGAGGATCCGCTGGCTCTGGTTGGGAGACCACATAGATCTTGATCATCGCCTCCCGCATCAACTGCGGAATGGTGAGATTGTAGTTGACATTCATGAGCAACTTGTCCTTGCAGAAGTCCTGAAGCTCCGCCTTCTTTCGACTGGCACGGTTGAGCTCCTGGACCAAGTGGCGGTAGGAGGTGAGGTCCTTGGAGGCCGCCTTTGCCTTGCTCATGTTGGTGTTGGTGAGCTCCTCCACTCGCAGCATCAGTTCTGCGCGAGTCCAGGCGCGTGGAGGTACTTCTCCTTGTTCCTCCAGCATCTTCTGAAGATTGGCGCGAGAGAGGCCGCTCATGTTCGAAGGCGGTTGAGGCAAAACGAACGCGTGGTTGCTCCTGAGCACTAGGTAGAGGCCGCGGTTCACACGAAGGTAATCGATGCGGAACTGCGCTGAAGCTGCTGCTGCTGCAGTGCAAACTGTCACAGTTACATGTGCTCGCTCCCTGGCTCAGGCTACGCTTTCCATTGGAATCAGAACTGTTCATGACACTACACGCATTCGGCACACACATCTCTCTCTTACGAGTCTCATCTACCCCAGCAGCGGAAGAGTTTATATCCCCCCTGCTATCAAACCCCTGTCCTGAAAAACTACGCACGTCCTCTTCTTTCCTGTCAGGACACAAGTCGAAGAGGTGATGTCCCTACTCGGACTGCGGCTTGGCCGCCGTCTCCAAAAACTCTCGCAAACTCGGAATCGCCACACGAGTCCCCATCGCGTCCTTGAGGAGGTCCTGTGTCAATGGAAGAAGCTGATGTCCTGTGCTGGAGCGCTCCAGCTGTATGATCTTCGTCGGGTCGAGCTTCCTGAAGACTGCCAGGTCCGCCTCGTAGTCCACCACGGCTCCCATGGTCCGGAGTGCCTCTATCGAAAGAAGCACTGGTCCCACTCCTCGGTTGAGGGCATGCACCTTGAAGGATCCTTCTTTGTTGCCCGCAGTCACTCCCATGCGGACGGTGGACACACATTGATCGGAACTGGAATTTCCGAAGCTGAAGAGAGGTCGTTCTTCCTGATTGACTTCGAGAACACGTGTGTTGCCAGTCTGGGACATATTGATATCCATGACTTTTTCCAAGGCCCACACCGAGCCGATACTCCGGGTAGCTCCGGAATCCAGCACGGCCTTGCCCTGCTCCACCGCCATACCGGTCGTGATCGTTGCGGACAAGGCGGTGTTCGCCGGGTCCTCCGCGTCCTCCGTGTAGAAGTTGAGGTCCTCGGCCATCGTCATGGAGTAGTCCTCGTTTCCAAACTTCTTCTCCTCGAGACCCTGGGCCATGTTCGCCTCCGGAATCACCTCGTCGGCAAAGAAGGTGAATGAGGCCGTCTCATTCTCCGCCAACTGGGCTGTGGCCTGTTGCGGACAGTTGGCTGCACGGTGTCCAACTTTGCCGGACTTGAGACAAGTCAGCCCTGAATCATCGCGAGGTCGAGGAGGCCCATGTCCGCTGGAGGAGCCTCGATTGTAGGATCTGTAGTACTGCCGCGATAACTTGACCGCATGCTGCTTCGCCCTGGCCTCTTTGAGCGTGCTGGATAGCCGCCAGGGCGCCTTCGGCCTCCGTCTGGGCCTCGTTCCAAGCCGCAAAGCCTTCCTCGTTGAGGGTCTCGGTCGCCGCGAGGCCCAAGTGCGGCTCCTCGTCGTAGATCTCGTCCGCCTCGGCCTCGCCCCAGAATCCATGTTGTCGTCGGCCTTGGTCTCTTTTCTTCAAGTCATTGTCCGGAAAGTGGATTCGTAGGGCGTTGGCGATATTCTTCATGCCATAGTTTTCTCCCGCCGTTGCCTGCACCAGTCCTTTCTCTGTGGCATCCAGGTTGGCATCCTGAAGAAGCATCCATCCTTGCACGAAGTCCGGCAGTAACTCCGGTAAGGGAGGGAGTGTCGGGGCTCGCGGACCCCAACTGAACCAAGAGTCCCACTGTTCCCACGAGCCTTGCCAACCTGAGTTCCAGCTCCAGGTATCGCCGTAACGGTCCCACGCACCGTCACGGTCATCCTCGTCTGGTTGTCGCCATGAAACATCATCATAGTAGGAAGCTGGCGCGTTCTGCCCAACCTGTTCGGTGCCATCGGCGGTCGTTGATGCCTCCGCCTGAGAGTCCATCGAAGATCTCCTGCTCACCCACGTTCTCGCCGGAGGTCCTGTGGCCTCTGGGCCGTTGGAGGTATCCATTGCCGGGGAGTACACAGGCTGAATGCAAGCCATGGCTTGTTGCGCTCTAAGGTACAGCTCGTTCTTGCGGGAGATATACTCGTTGATACTCTCACCAGCGCGGCGTTTGCTCTGCTTAAAATACTTCCCCAGGTACTCTGTCACTTCCACGATGCGAGGTTGACCTAGCCCTTGCCTCAGGTGTTCCAGCAACCGCTCGAGGCCGCCTGGAAAGGAAAGCCATTCCGTGGGCATCCCCATCACCTGCCGTCTTGCTGCCCCCGACAGTTCTGAGGCTATTCTGGGTCCCACCTGAGCTCGCTTGTGGAAGGCCACTGACTGTTCATATAATCTCGCCGACTCAGAGAATTCAATGAACGTACCTGGGTCGCCATCCCACAAAGGAATGCCGTCACGGGTCCGCGACCCGCTGGTTGCAGCCAAGGCTGCCCCGCTTGTCATCTTTCCTCAGCGAACGGAAGAAAGCCTGAGATCAAATCGTCTGCCCTGGATATTCCGAGCCCCCTTCTAGAAGGTGGGCTCCGCTACCATGCAAGCGGTAAGCAGCCGTTGGTTACACAAGCACTGAAGTGGGAGACACACAAAGGGCTATGGCACACGGGTGCGGCTCGCGCGGCACACTATTTTCCTTTCCCCAGGATCTCGTACAATCAAAGCTGCGGAACACCAGATTGCGTGTGAGCTGCTGAAGTGACTTTCACTTGCAGGGTTTAGGGTTTGGGGGTTTGGAGTTTAGGGTTTAGGGTTTGGGGTTTGGAGTTTAGGGTTCAGGGTTTCGGGTTTAGGGCTTGGAGTTTCGGGTTTAGGGTTTGGGATGTGGAGCTTAGCGTTTAGGTTCATGGGTGCGTATTTTCTTGCCAGATGTTCGCAAGGCTTTCTGAAGTTCTGAAGCAGTGTGTGGAGGTTGCTTTTTGCGTTGATGTGGCACTCTAAACCCTAAACAAACCCTCACCTCTCAGCCCTTTAAACCCTCATGCTCTAAGCAGCAGACTGTGGCAGCTTTGGTCCTCAGGTCGCGGCTACATGATCTTAGCCACGAGCTCTTAGCCCCTGAGACGAGCCCCAATCCATTTGGGTTACTGTCACAACACGAGGTCTTTTTGGGGAGCTCTACATATTCATCCACTCTTTATGGGTCAAAGGTATAGTTTGGGACCCCAAAATCGGGACCCTAGCTCTGACAACCATGCATCTAAATCCCAAGCCCTAGTTCCCAAACGACAGACCCCAACCCTAAGCCCCCAAAACCATAAACCCCAAACCCTAAACCCTAAACCATAAGCCGCAAACCCTAAACCCCAAACCAGAACCGCAAACCCTGAGCCCGAACTCTCAGACTCCTCGACTCTGTAAAAAAGCTCACCGCAAGACTTCAGGAGCTCTTACACAAACCTTATAGAAGCCTTGTGAAATACTTGCCTAAACTACTCTAAACCCCAAACCCCAAACCCTAAGCTACCCTAAACCGTAAAGTCGAAATCCCAAGCCTTGTTAGGCTGTCTCGTTGGGGGTTTAGGTGGATTTAGGGGGGTTTAGGGTCTACCCATAGGCTCTTTAGTAGTTCCTTTTTGGGATTACCGTATAGGATGCTAAATATGATGAACCATAAAAAGGAACTACTTAGGAGCCTATGGGTAGAGCTAGCGGAAAACGGTTTGCGGGTTCTTGGAGCAAGGTCTTGCCTTGTGCGGCGGTTCAGGCTCCCAGAGAAGCCAATACCCATGAATTACGGAGTATACTTACCTTAAAATCATAATGTTAAGGCCCCTATAAGTTAAGGACCCGGTACCCATGAATTACGGAGTATACTTTAAATATCACAATGTTAATGCCCCCTGTGATTTAAGGTATGCTCCTTAGCTCAGGTGTATCGATTTTTTTTATTAAGGCCCCTATAACTTAAGGTATATGCTCCTTAGCTAAGGTGTATCAGGTTCTCAGGGTTTGACAGTTTGACACTTGAAACCTGATAGGCTAGCACAGGGGACAGGACACCCACAGTTGTTTGAACACAACCCCCCTGCTTAAACTTGCATCCCAGAGCCCTGAGACATCAGACGCACGTCTTAAATTTGCCGGGAGTCTCTTCGAAATCCCTGTAGTCCTCAAAGTTAAGCCCTAAGCCCGAAGACACAAACCCCAATCCCCTAAACCCCTAAGCCCTAAACAGCACTTAAACTTTAACGGTTAAACCTTCAGCCGATCGATGCCTTAGGGTTCGGGAGACGTCGCCCCGTGCGCCCCTGCGCCCGGCACGCCAGGCCTGATACAGGGCCTAATGAAGTACCTAAGTTTTCAGGGTTGGGTTTAGGGTGTATAGGGTTTAGGATTCATGCTTTAGGGGTTAAGGGTTTAGGATTTACAGGGTTTAGGGCTTATAGGGTTTAGGATTCAGGGTTTAGGGGTTAAGGGCTTAGGGTTTAGAGGGTTTAGGGTTTATAGGGTTTAGGGTTTAGGGGTTTAGGGGTCTCAGGTATCGGGTCTCAGGGTACCCTAAACCTTACACAGTCTAGGCTTCAGCTTCGACGGAGGGTGCAGTAAGCCTTAACTCTCGAAGTCGCACCACCATCCCTCAACCCTTAGCATGTGGTAACAAGAGCACTAGTCACAACCCTGAGCCCTAAACCCTAAACCCTAAACCCTGAACCCTAAACCCTAAACCCTATAAGCCCTATAAACCCTAAACCCTAAACCCTAAACAGCAACCAAAGGCGTGAGGTGCAGAAAGAGTCGCAAAGCGAAAGGAATCCCTGAGCGCGCGCTCCAGGTTGCGATGTAAGGGGTTTTGGAGTTGAAAAAGCTATGTTTGGGGGGCCCCCTAAACCCTAAATCCTAAATCATGAACCCTAAATCCTATAGACCCTAAACCTAAACCCTAAGAATCCTAAACCCCAAAACCTACAACCGTAAGCCAATATAAGCCCTAATATCCCTGCCCTAGACCCGTAAGGACGACGCAAGGAGTTCCTGCGAGTGCAAGGTTCGTAGTCGCCCTTCAGGAGCTGGCCAGGCACTGCAGGCACAAGATTGAGAGTGACGAGCCGTGAAGAAGCAGCGCACTGAACACACATTTTATGGTGTAGGGTTTTCGGGTTTAGGGGTTCAGGGTTTAGGGGTGTAGGGGTTTAGGGTTTAGAGGTTTATATAGGGTTTAGGGGTCTGAAGCGTATGGAAGCTACAGCCCGAAACCGAAGCAACGTCCCGCCGCACAGGAAGCGACCACCATTCGCAACTATGGGTTGCCACCTGGCATCTACTTCCAGCCGAGTTTAAGGGCTTCGGGTTCCTGGCCTTTGGGGTTTAGGGCTTAGGGTTCAGGGCTTAGGGTTTAGGGCTTCGGGTTTAGGGCTTAGGGCTTAGGGTTTAGGGCTGAGGGTTTAGGGCATAGGGCTTAGGATCGGGTTTAGGGTTTAGGGCCGGTTTTCGTTTCAGGTGCTTTAGCCGACTGGCACTCACCTCCTGCGAGCTCGGTTGCCGGGTAGTTGGCAGCCAGGCCGATGGGTATTGACGGGTATACAGCTGGATGTATGCAAGAACAGCAAGAGACGGTGACCCTAAACCCTAAACCGAAGGCTGAGGGTTAAGGGTTTTTCGCTTTAGGGTTTAGGGTGGAAGGTTGGCGTTTAGGTCAACGGAGCTTTTTGCCCGGGGTCTGGCCTGTTTTATGCCTGGTGTTGGTTTGGGGTTTAGGGGTGTCCGACCCGGAAAAGACCCCAAACCCTAAACCCTTAACCGTTTAGATATCCTAAACCCTAAATCCTAAACCCTAAACCCTAAACCCTTAACTAATTAGTTATAAGAGCAGTCCGGACGGCTACACCGAGACGCGCCAGCGCAGCAGCACATCTTGAGCAGCCCCAAGCTGCCAAAACGCAGAGTCTTCTATAAACCCTAAACCCTAAAGCCTATAAACCCCAAGACCCTATACCCTTAACCCCAAAAACTATAAAACCCCAAAGGCCTAAACCCTAAACCCTTAAACCTTATGAGCCCCAAAAGCCCTAAACCCTGAAACCTACAAGCCTCAAGCCCGAAGCCCGCATGTTAAGTTTCCCAACTTTCAACACCGAGGTCTGGTCACACGCCCAACCACTCGAGCTTGCGGGGGCTTGGTTCTCAGTGTTTGAAGCATAGCTCTGGCAACAAGGCAGTTTGTGTTTAGGGTTTAGGGTTTAGGTTTAGGGCTTGTCGTTTAGGTTTTCAGGGTTTGGGATTTCAGGTTTAGGTTTAGGGCTTGTCGTTTGGGTTTTCAGGGTTTAGGATTTGAGGTTTAGGTTTAGGGCTTGTCGTTTGGGGTTTCAGGGTTTAGGGTTTGCGGTTTGGGGCTTTAGGGCTTCAGAGGCCTTAGGGAGCTGCCTCAAACCCGAAACCGTGGTATAAGGTTGAGGGCTCAGGTGTGCTGTCCCGGCCAGCTTTAGTAGGCAAAAGAACACGCGAACACAAGCACGCAAGGCCGTCAACCTGGTCAACCCTAACCCCCTGAGCCGATTGCAAGCCATAGAGTTGCAGGAGCCCAGAAAGTTTGGATGTGCTGCATATTGGCACACAGTCTGAGCCTTTGTACCCTAAACCGGAAACACACACCTGAAACACAAACTCTGACCGTAACCCAAGCACCCCCAAACCACACATCCGAAGCCCTAGGCCCTACACCCGATACCCAAGATCAAGGGTCAGATTTGGGGATCCGAACCCTGAGAACCCAATACCCCTTAATTAAGGAATATGCCTTAAATCATATTATTAAGCGGTATTGGGTTCTCTGGGAATGTAAGTCGTCATACGATAACAGGGCTTCGCAGGTCTAGACCTGACAATAACGCTGGGCTGTGAAGAAGTAGTGATATCGGTAGGGTTTTTCATAGAAACCTAGCGAAAAAGCTCCAAAGCCCTATTCCAAGAATGGCAGCCCCTCAGTGAATCGTGAAACT